CCTTAGACCAACTCGGCCATCTCAACATACAATCATTAATGATGGACGGGTGTAAATCTGGAGTTTGTGTCATAAAGAGCCAAACTAGGTTCGAGAGCCTCGCTATTTTTCTTATGCACGTCCCACGGATTTGAACGCACACACCCTTTCGGACTAGAACCTTAATCTGACGCCTTAGACCAACTTGGTCATCTCAACATGCAATCACTAATGAAGAACGGGTGCGGATTTGAACCCACACTCTTTCCGACCAGAACCTTCATTTGACGCCTTAGACCAACTCGGTCATCTCAACATGCGATCACTAATGAAGGACGGGTGCAAATCTGAAGTATGTGTCATAAAGAGCCAAAATAAGGTTAGGCTATTTTTCTTATGCACGTCCTATGCTTGTTTAAAATACAAAACAATCGAAAGCATTGTTGAGAGTGAGATTTGAACCCATGCCCTTTCAAACCAAAACCTTAATCTAGCGCCTTAGACCAACTTGGTCATCTCAACATACAATCACTAATGAAGGACGAGTGCAAATTTGGAGTGCTCATTTAAAATACAAAAAAAAAAAGAAAAGCATTATTAAGAGTGGGATTTGAACCCACACACTTTTGAGAATTAGAACCTTAATCTAGCACCTTAGACCAACTCAGCCATCTTAACATGCAACTATTAATCTAAGACAGGTCCAAATCTGGAGCATGTGTCATAGAGAGCCAAACTAGGGTCGAGAGCCTCCGCTATTTTTCTCATGCATGTCTCATTGGTGCTTGTTTAAAATATGAAAAACACACTAATGGTACCTTTTTTGGGTTTTGGGAAATGAAACAAAAATATTGTATAATGCACGTCCCATTGGTGCTTGATTAAAATACGAAAAACACACCAATTGAGAGTGGGATTTGAATCCACGCCTTTTTGGACCAAAACCTTTATCTGACGCCTTAGACCAACTCGGTCATCTCAACATGCGATCACTAATGAAGGATGGGTGTAAATCTGGAGCATGTGTCATAGAGAGCCAAACTAGGGTCGAGAGCCTCGCTATTTTTCTTATGCACATCCCACAACATGCGATCACTAATGAAGGACGGGTGCAAATCTGGAGCATGTGTCATAGAGAGCCAAACTAGGGTCGATAGCCTCGCTATTTTTCTTATGCACGTCCCATTAGTGCTCGTTTAAAATACAAAAAACACATCAATTGTACCTCTTTGGAAAATGAACCAAAACATTCTTGAGAGTAGGATTTAAACCCATACCCTTTTGGACCAAAACCTTAATTTGGAACCTTAGACCAACTCAACCATCTCAACATGCAATTACTAATCAAGGACGGGAGCAGATCTAGAGTAAGTGTTATAAAGAGACAAACTAGGGTCGAGAGACTCCGCTATTTTGTCCGATGAAAATAAAATTAAGCAACATGATAAATAACAAAAATACCCCTACTTGACATTTTAATACCCCAAGGGTGTGACATACACCTATGAAATAGGAGTGCGTAGGGTGTAGAACTCAGAGGCTAGAGAGAACTTAATTTCATACAATTGGTAAGCTTTAGGAATGTGACGAGCACATAACTTAAGAGCTTTACTCGGAATAGTTCAACGAGAGTTTACTAGTCTCTAGTGAGTATAGATTGCTTTAGGAATCATTACCGATAAATTATCTAAATTTCATAATTTAGCGGTAATGATTTATCATTTTTATAGGATGTGACTATTTTGAAGAAGTGACAAGGCAAGTAATAAACCACTTAGTTACTGCTCCATCATTGTTTAGATTGTTTGGTTCACTAAGACCTCGTCTCTTGTTAGCATGTGTTAAAAAAATATATATATATATTCGTTAAAGTCAAAAGTCACACTTAAAACTCAGGGGCTCATGTCTGAAAGTTATTTTGGAAATATCTTAATCTCATCTTATTAATTCTTGAAAATACAGTTACTCTCGGTAATTGGTCGAATAAATCATCTATCTAAGGAAGTGGATATTTGTTCTTTACTATCACCTTGTTTGACTCGAGAGTCTATACATAAGTGCACAGACTTTTTCTTACATACATAAGATCATAGCTTCGTATTGTGATAAAACTTAAAAATGTCCAAAAATTCAACATTTTTTATTCAAAATTGTGTAACTTACTACAAAAATCGACATGATCTATTATTATCAATTATCGACATTTGTATTCTATCCATCTATTCTCCAAATTTCACTAATACTTGTATTTATATACATTTCACTGCCATTCTTATAGCCTCTTACCGTTCTACTTCGGTAGAACTTCCCATCGATCTTCGGGGTTGAAGGCCACAATGTTTGTCCATCGCCCAGTTTCGAATTTCACAAAAGTGTTCCCACCAGATGACGTATAAAAATATACCATATTGTCAAGATATGATGCTTGAATAAAAAAATTCAATGGAATCAGAGTGACTGGAAACTTGATTCCATCACCAAAATTAGAACCTCCAATAACACACCGATTGTCCTGCATGTAAGTTTGCATTTCATTGGTCATTACACTAGTAAAGTAACAACAAATCTAAAAAACCTAAACAATTAGGTTTGATCGTATGATCATAATTGTGTTCATACCATTCGAGCTCCTAACAAGTGACTATCAATCTTAAATTAAGGATGAAATAATGCAAATTCGTATTTACTCTGATAGCATGACTAGCCAACCACTAAACTTAAAACCTTAAGCTAACCATACCTAATATATTTGATTGTTTATTTATATTCACACTTGTCCTTCATTTGTGAGGTCAGAATAAGGGTAAAATCCAACTAGGGACTATCAATATTTATTATATTAGGAAAGATACAAGTTTGAAGTCTCGTGTCTTCTATGTATGTCGAGTTTATACTAGTAGGTTGTGTTGAAGATTATTGGGAGTGAGTCTCACATTGGTTAATTTAGTAGAAGATTATGAGTTTATAAGTGAAAAATACTATCTCCATTGGTATGTGAGGAAGCCCAAAGCAAACTCATGAGAGCTTATGCTCAAAATGGACAATATCATACTATTGTGGAGAGTCATGATTCCTAATATGGTATCAAAGTCATACCCTAAACTTATGAGCCTCGAAGGTATAGTAAAAAATGACTAAAGTGTCGAACAAAGACTGTACTTTGTTCGAGGAGATGATTGTTGAGGATTATTGGGAGTGAGTCCACGTTGGTTAATTTAGTGGATCATAGGTTTATACCTTAGAAATAGGTATGAGACCAACTGGTTCCGGATCACTTATTTAAATTCTTAACACTCCCTTCACATGTATACTTGAAAACTAGCATAAGATCCAAAATGTGACTATAAATGCTAATGAAGAAGGAAATAACACTTCAAAAGTTTGAACACGGGTTTATTCATCGAAGGGATGGATTCAATTCAAACATTTGAAAAGTTTCCTCAACTTTCAAGGGATAGATAGATTGTGTACCTCCGCAGGAAGCGCGAACTCCATTAGTATAGCAGAGAATGTCACTTTTGAAACCGTTGCAGTAACCCAGACTGTTAGAGAAGACAAGCTTTCATAAACTTTCAAGAAGACATGGATTACACTATGTATAAGTGTTCGCAAGACTGCACATGGGGAGAAGAAATGGAGTTACTTCTAGTATTGAAGGCACATAATCTTGTTGCAATGTCTCTGAACCACTCTGCATCAATGGCGACAAATGGTCCGTCGTCCATTTCAGGAACGTTAGTATTAGGGGTAGGACCCATCGCCAGTATAGTGTTATATCTTAAATGTCCAATGCCTAAAATCAAAATGAAAAATCAAGAACTCGAGTCAAGAAACACGAAGATACGGCAACGAAAACAATCCGAAAATTGACAGATTTAAGCGAACTGATCGAAATGGAACTTTAGGGATTTTGTTCACAGTTTATCCAATTCGTAGATGAGACCCATTCCCAATACGTAAATCCACTCGTCTTTGCTGAATTGAAGAAGAAAAACCCTAAAATACAGAGTGTTGAAAATTTCCTCGATTATCCACTCAGATTGACGAAATAACAAACAAGAAACCGCAGATTCACCAAGAAAGCAGGAGAAAAGTAAAATCAGAACCGAAAATCTTGAGAAAAACATTTGTGAAACATGAAGATACGGCAACGAAACCAATCCGAAAATTGACAGATTGAAGCGAACTAATCGAAACGAAAATTTAGGGATTTTGTTCACAGTCTATCCAATTCATAGCTGAGATCCATTCCGCATACGTTTAACCACTAGTCTTTGCTGAATTGAAGGGAAAAAAAGAAGAAAACAAAAAAACAAAAACCTAACATACAGAGTGTTCAAAATTTCCTCGATTATCCAGTCAGATTCACGAAATAACAAACAAGAAATGCAGATTCACCAAGAAAACATAAAAAAAGTAAAATGAGAACCGAAAATCTTGAGAAAATCAAAGGCGTTAAGAGAGGAACATACTATTTGTGAAAAAGAGGTTGGTGCAGAAAGGCTGATCCGGCATGAGAGCGGTGAGGAGAATATTGTCGGTGCCGGTAAGGGAGATGGCGAAAAAGAATTCGTCGATCTGAAGAGAGGAACGAAGTTCTTCGGGGCCATTGGGATTAGTGGACAAGATGGTGAAGAAAGACTCCGAGATTTGAAGCTGTGCGTAAAGGCAAGAGGTGCTGTTTTCGCGGGAGGCTGTGAAGAAGACCGTCGAGCGAGAGAATCTGAAATCGGCGAACGGAGCGAGGTGGAGGAGTGGAAGAAGATTGTACGTCAGAGCTTCCATTGCTGCAACCTGGAACGTTAGCATGGTGAGAGAGAAAATGGCGGGAAGGTGAAACTTGAAGAAATCCTGCAACGATTTCAACGGTCTATTTATTGCTTTAAACCTTTTTTATTATTATTATTATAAAAGCATTATTTAATTTTTTTATTTGAGGGTATTATTGTAATTTTCAAAAATTGAAGGTTTTTTTTTTTTTTTTAATTTAACAGTTTTCTTAACACCCCTAGTTCAGTTGTGTGTAACAGCGTGAGAGAGGAAGGAAAAATGGAGGATTGCTTCTGTTCATCCCCTTCTTCGGAGAGCTGGGGAGAGACGGTTTCGGAGAAGGTATTCTCGCTCTACAACTCTCTCCCAAAGAAAGGCAAGCCTCAGGGTCATGAAGTCACTGTATTGGCTGCATTTCTCGTTTCATCTCCTTCCGCACAAGGTTCCCTTTCAAACCCTACCAATTTCCCCTCCGTTTCCTGTTTTATGTGCAATTTTGATGGTGTTAACTCTACTGGTAGTGAAAGCATCCTGTTTGTTTCGTTTCGTTTTCGTTTTCGTTTTCGTTTTCAATCAGTGATCCGCGTTTCTGTTGATTCTAGTTCCAGATGAAAGTTACTCGAACTGTTTTTAAATGTTGTCTATCTTGTTATCGATTTAGATTTGGAAGTTGTGGCGTTAGGGACGGGGACTAAGTGTCTCGGTCGCTCGCAGTTAAGCTCAAATGGTGACGTTGTGAATGATTCACACGCCGAAATAATTGCTCGGAGAGCTTTAATGAGGTTTGACTTGTTTCTGCGTTTTTGTTGCTTTCTTTGATTTGTATGAACATTTCTATGATTTGGTATACTTTTGGTATCTAGTAAGTGTAAATTATTAAGTTTGCGCTTTTGGTTTCTAGGCGTTTATTTTGTCACTGTGCCAGTGAGATTTTGTAGTTTGAGATATTATGTATTTGAGATGAGCTTATAAACTTTGTTCTTTTCCCAATCTGACTCTGTTTACCAGGTTCTTCTACACACAGATTCAACATTTGTCCCAGAACAACTGTGAGAGTGAACATCACAAAACGAAGAAGATGAGGTGTGACAATGTAATAAATTTTTTGTTTCAATTAGATGAGGAGGCTGGTGCTGAACGAAAATATGTCATGAGAAAGGGCTGGAAATTGCATTTATACATATCTCAGTTACCATGTATATTTTCCAATTCCCATGAATTGAATATTGATTTTTTAAAAGAAAGTTTCGTATATGAATTTTGAAATACAATGCACGTGCATCAAATTGTTTGTTCTTTCTTGGGTTTATGCAAGGTGGAGATGCTTCATCTTCAACTCCCAGAGACGTCCAACCTAGAACAGAGGATACGCCACCATGTTTGATTGATGAAGGTATGGATACACTACCACAGGCTAAAATGGAAGATAGTGATTTCTTGCTTATATTTCATGTTTAAGGGGGGGAATTTACCTCTTAACATAAAAAAATTTCTTAATTCGTGAAGAATGTATGGGTGGATTCAAATTTCAGGGGATGATTCACAGTGCATAGGTTTGGTTCAGAGGAAGCCTGGTCGTGGTGATACAACATTGTCAGTTAGCTGTTCTGACAAGATAGCTCGATGGAATGTAGCTGGAGTTCAAGGTGTGTTATGTGGTAGAACCATAGCAGTAGAAGTTAACCTTATTAATACCATGCTGTAGTGAGCTTGGCTGGGTGACAATAAGCTATAATCTGGTAACTTAATGTTGAAATGACATGTATTTTGTAGCACAAGCATATTGCCAAATGCACGTGTTTTTTGTGAGAGTTATTGTTAGTCACAACTTTCATCTTCTGTTCTGTTAGTTATTTGAGCATGCTTGGATTATGTAATTTCTGACTTAGCTACTATACGTGCGTATCGATTTATCTTTTTCTTTTTAGTTTTTATAATGGTGTTCTGCATCACTATTTGCGGGACCATTTTATGGTTTGAATTTGTAATGTACAAATGCTTTATGCATCAACTGAGATGGTTTCTTCTCATCTTGTATCAGGAGCTCTTCTCTCGTACTTTCTTCAGCCTGTTTATCTTTCCTCTATAACAGTTGGATTGTCCCCTCATAGTGCCAAAAATTGTACACTGAAGGAACAAGTGAAAAGAGCAATATGTGATCGAGTACAGCCATTTTCGAATGAGCTAACGACTCCCTTAGAGGTGAACCAGGTACATTAAGCACTTATCTTAGGTACACAATATGGCAGGACAGGATGACAATTTTATGCTTTATAACTTTTTTTTAATTTTTTGTGTTAAGTGGATTTGCAGCCATTGTTTTGCACAGCTCCAATACCACCAAAGGAGTTCCAACACTCGGAGTCTGCTTTAAACACGATAACTTGCGGGTAATGTCTCAACTAGATCAAATGTATGTGCAAGAGTTGTCTTGTAAGCGATCACATGGTTAAATTAATTTTCCTGGCGAACTTACAGGTACTCTATTTGTTGGAACAAGTCTGGCTTGCATGAGGTCGTCCTTGGAACTATTGGAAGAAAGCAAGGAGCCTCTGCTAAAGGGGCACAGTATCCATCAACTGAGTCATCTTTATGCAAGTAATGATATCACTTTAACCATGGTTTGACTAGCTTGTGAACATAGTTGATCTATTCTAATCAGCATTGTATCAATATCTCAGGAAGCGGTTACTGGAAATGTTCTGGTCGCTTAAAAGTGTATGCCCTACTAAATTTCTTGCCAGCAACATCTCTTATAGAACGCTGAAGGTAAATTTTATTTCTGTTTAGTCTGAACACCTTGAACCTTGAAGGAAAACTGTTACTAAATCTCATCTGTAGAAGTCCCGCATTATAAATTTTCTGACATTGTTTATCATGCACTATTATATTGTGATGCATCAAATGAAGTCCTTCACATTCAAGTCGACCCCAAGGGTTGGGTTCCGTGAAGAAAGTGAATTCAAACATATGGTCATCAGTTCAAGATCCTTTGGTTTACAAACTTTGGACAATAAATCGCAAACTTTTGGTCTATATGATATTATAGGACAATAAAGCGCGTCTCCTAGGGAGAGGTTTCCACACCCTTATAAAGAATGTTTCGTTCTCCTCATCAACCGATGTGAGATCTCACAATTAATTAGTCCATCGTTCTGAAATATAAAACATCGTTCTGAAATACAAGACACCTGAAATTGTAGAAAATAGCTTTCATTTACCCCTATAAATGGTATACTTTTCATGTGATAATGATGCCAGTCGCATGTTTAAATCCAATGCAGGATGGATCTCAAGATTACTATTTAACATCTAAAGTTTTCAAGGAACAATCAGCGTTTAAGAACTGGATATCAAAACCTATCAACTACGAGGCGTTCTCATTTGGATGTGGGTGAGGTACGTGTTTGTTAGCCATCCATTTTTAATGCTAACTGAAAGATAAGAGGTGAATATGAATGTTTCTGGATGATCTGCCTCTATGTTTGTACAATCTTTCTTGGTCTATGCCAGTGAAATAGTTAGCTTTTGGCTTTCTGTATTTTCAACCTCTCAAGGCTCCAAAAGATGTTTTAACAACAGATCACTCTATAAAAGCACGAGTAAAGATCATTATAGCAATTTTTCTCTCAATTTAAATAGGCTGCCGATTTTGCTGAATTAATTAGTCTCTAGCAAAAATAGAATTTCTCAACTTTTTGAAAACGTCGAGTCTTCTTTGTTGGACAATAATAATAAATGATTAAACGAAAGGAGTGATAAGAGTCTTTCACAAACTCAAGTTCAAGACATCCAGCTGCCCCCACGTTACAATAGGAACTCGTGTAGAGCCTTTTCTTTAACGTGGAACTAGGGCTTGATGAGCGTAACTCACCAATAAAGCTTATAGGCAAGGGTCGAAGAATAGATCCTACAAATCCAACCCGTGAATTGCATCATTAATCTAATTCCAAAATTTCATTCTTATTTTGAATTTTTCACTGCAAATTCACTAGCAATCGTTGATCAATCATAGGATGATGAATTCATTTCAAGCTTTAAACACATCGTCTGTCACACTATGGGATTTGACCATGCTTAAAATCGCTAATTTAACATCCAGGAGGGAGATGTCGAATACAAGTATTAAAGTGAAGTCGTAACAAGTTAACCGTAATGGACGGTGCGTTTGAATCACCTTCTTCAACGATTCATAACTAGTGGCCCACCAACACTTTAAAAATTAATTATGACATCATTTAGTCATACAATACTAATTCCTCTTCCAACTTTAGGAGACTTTGCTCAAGTCTTCTATATACACCATAAAGTTAGACTTATTCTAAACTTGACTAATACTTTGGAATAAATTATATTCTCGAATATCAAATTTAAATCTCTCACCTGTACACATGATGTTAAATATATATATATAAATATATATTATTATTATTATTATTATTATCAAATTTCAATTTGGGGTTAATAATAATATAATTCATTAATATTAAATTTTAAAACTAAATTATAGTATTTTATAAATAATAATGACAGAAATTATAATTTAAATTTTAAAAGTTTCCAGAAGGATGGTTAAGTTAGTTATAAAATGTTATTATTATAAATATTTGTAATTCATAGATTTAAAATATATTAAAGAGTGAGAATAATATACTGTACACTTAATATATATTGTTAAGATGAAATTTTTATTTAAAAAATAAAATATTTAACCCGTTATATAAAAACTAAAACCATATTAGAAAATAATAATTAATTAAAAGTAAGTTGAAACGACTATTTATTGACTTGTTTATTTATGGAAATAAGAATAATGTCTTTTAAATTTAATTTGATAGAAACATTTTTATTAAATTCATATTTCCAATTTTTGCCACGTGTATATATTATTATATTATTATACTATTAAACAATTCAACCACTAAAAATATTTTTTATTTAAATTTGCCACGTGTAAATGAATTAATTTTTCTATATGCAGTTTGGATTAAAAATAAGAAGAAACACCATACAAACACTAAAATAATATTTATAAACTAAAATTAAAAAAAAACGAAAAAAACAAAGCTTTAATAATTTTTTCTTTTTTTTTTTAATATCTCTTTCTATCTCTTCGTAATTATATATTATTAAAACAAATTTATTCTTTTCTTGGGAGAAAAATACATTATTTTTGTAATTTTCTACTACGTCATGTTGACTAGTTGCAAATAAAATTATATTATTTGCATTACTTTATTTTATTTCTTTATGGGTAAAATAACGTTTTGGTCTTTGTTTCTTAGTAATTAAATACATTATTTTTTTAGGGTTTTTAAATTGGCACTAAATGAGCATTTTTTTTATTATTATTGAAATTAAATTACAGCTTGTTATTATTTTTTTTATATTCAATTTTATTAATTGATTTTTAATTTATATTTCATTGACTTGAGATTTTTTAAAAAATCCCTTTTAATGACTAAACTTTAAATTTTGAAATTTACTTTATTTACTCCCAAAGTAAATAAGTCTCAATCATTAATATATTTTATAAAATAGGATGGGTCAAGTCATGTCGAATTAATTAATATTTAAAGCGTGATTAAATTACAAATTTACTCCGTAAAATTTGATTATTCAACTTACCTAATTCTGAAATTTTGGGAAGCCTTGATTAGGTACTTTAACCACGTTTCTAATGTTACTCAATATTGACTATAATTGATCTATATTACTTCCTGTCGAGATAGAAAATCCTCTCCCTAACAAATATATTTTACAATTATGAGGCTGACAACGATACGTAACGAGTAAAAATAGACAATAGCTGCTAACGGTGGACTTGGACCGTACCAAATGGTATTGGAGCCAAATATCGAACAATGTGCCAACAAGAAACGCTGGCCTCCAAAGAAGTGAATTGCAAGATCCCATATTGGTTAGAGACGAGAATGAGGAAACAAAACATTTTTTACAAAGGTATAAAAAATCCAACATCGATTAAAGAGGGGAACGAGAGGATGGAGCATACATTATAAGGATATAGAAACCTCTTCCTAATAGACAGTATTGCAAACTCGTGAAGCGGAAGGAGATACGTAAAAGGTAAAAGCTGACAATTTATGCTAGCGGTAAACTTGAGCTATTACACCTAACCTCCAAATTTTCAATTACGAACTTTTTCATCAATAAATTTAACGTATTGAAACAAATTTGAAGGATTAAAATGAAAATGTTAAAAGTTTTAGACATTATTGAAACTCTTAGGAAAGCTGTTAGGCGCGAGAGGAAATCCAGTACGCAATTCCACCAATGGGTGATTTACACGTCATTTAACTTATACTAAAAATTCAATTATTTTTTTGAAAAAATACAAATACGAACGATATTGAAACTCAGACAATTCAACTCCTCTTTCCGTACCTCTCTTTCCTCTCCGTTTTCTCTCCCAAAACTTTCCTCTTCCAAACAGAGATGAACTTCAACTTCAACTTCAACTTCATCCTCTTCATCTCTTTCCCTTGATCCTCTCGAAGAACTTCCATTAAAGCCAACCGGAGAGACCCTTCCACCTTCTTCTTTGACTCGGAACGTTTTCTTCTGACAACAACAGGGAAGGTGCGTTGTTTGCTCTTGTTCTATTGTTTAACTTCTTTTTTATCGGTGGATTGTGTGATTTTCTATCTGGTTGCTTGAAATAATTTCTGGATTTTCAAACTGGTTTAGTTTTATGTGTAGATTATGATGGTTTTTGGGAAATTGGTTCCTCCCTTGACTTTTTTTTTTGTACAAAGTAGCTATGGAAGTGGTTCTTATGTCTGGGATTGGTTATTTTGGAGATGTTCTTGTTGGGGAACGGCTGGTTTGGGCTGCTGAATCTGGGTTTGAGGTGGGAAGGGATATTGCACGCCAAGTGTTTGTTAAAAGTCCAAGGAGAATTTAGAGAATGTTTGGTTTGTGAAGGAAATATGTTAGGAGTCAAGATGCTTAACAAGCTAAATTGATAGACTCCGCTTGGGGGAATTTCGTGGTTTTCTTTCTTGATTTGTTTTGGTTGGGAGAGAATTAGTGATGATTTTGCTTTGAAGGATTTTTCATCTCTCTTTTTGAAGATTCTGTATATACTTTTTCTACAATATTTGGATGTTTGATTCATTTTGGAATCTAAATGAATTCGATCCCTTGATTCCTTTGTTTTGAATTTTGTGGATACTTTTATTTTTGGTTCTACAGATCACATGGTTCCATTTGATTATTGGAAACTTGAAAAGATAAAATTGAACAAAAAAACAAAGTTTGATATAGTAATGAAGCAAGTACCTCGTTTCAGTTCCAGGTGAATTTTCTTGAACCAACTGTGTGGAAGTTCATCGTTGCTTGAGTAGTCTGGAAGAAGTTGAATGGGTAGCCTCAAGCTAGGAGTGGATGTAGTGGGTGCTCATGATCTTATGCCAAAAGATGGGCAGGGCTCAGCCAATGCTTTTGTTGAGCTTCACTTTGACAATCAAAGAGTTCGTACCACCACTAAGGAGAAGGATCTCAATCCTATTTGGGATGAGAGCTTCTACTTCAACATATCAGATCCACAAAATCTGTCCAGACTTTCTCTAGAGGCCTTTGTCTTTTGTTATAACAGAGCCAGCAACAGCCCGAAGCCTTCCTGTCTCGGGAAAGTTCGTCTTACTGGGACCTCGTTTGTCTCGTATTCTGAGGCTGTTCTTTGTCATTATCCTCTCGAAAAACGAGGCATTTTCTCGCGAACTAAAGGAGAGCTTGGACTTAAGGTCTATGTAACTGATGATCCTTCTAAAAAGCTTTCAAATTTACTTCCTGCAGTGGAATCTTCTGTAGAAAAGAATCCTTTTCTGGTTCCAATCGCATCTGAACACCAATCAACGACACAAAAAGTTCCAAACTTCGTAGCGAGTCTGTTTTCAAGCGATAAAACTGAATCGAGACAGACATTCCATCACCTTCCCAATGCAAAGCAGCCTCCCCTGGAGCAACAGCAACAGCAGCAACAGCAGCAGATTGCACCACCAGCTGTGACCTATGGAGGATATGGTATGAAATCTGAGCCAATGGTTGCAAATACTGTTCAGGCATACCCAGGATCATCATTTAAATATAATGATTATTCAATTAGAGAGACAAGTCCTTACCTTGGTGGTGGGATGGTTGGTCGAGGTCGTGTCGCTCTTGGTAACAGACCTGCAAGTTCACATGAACTCGTAGAAAAGATGCATTATCTTTTCGTTCGAGTCGTGAAAGCCCGTGATCTTCCTTCCAAGGATTTGACTGGAGGCTTAGATCCTTACGTTGAAGTGAAACTTGGGAACTTCAAGGGAACTACGAAGCATTTTGAAAAAAATTCAAATCCTGAATGGAATGAGGTTTTTGCCTTCACAGGGATGAATGTGCAATCAACAGTGCTCGAAGTTACTCTTAAAGACAAAGATACCTTAAAAGATGATTATGTTGGGCGTTTGTACTTTGATCTTCATGAAGTTCCTACCCGAGTTCCGCCCGAAAGTCCATTGGCTGCAGAATGGTATCGCCTCGAAGACAAGAGTAGATCGAAGAAAAAGGGAGAACTAATGCTTGCTGTATGGTATGGCACGCAAGCTGATGAGGCTTTT